TAGATAGCTGGTTGTCCTACCATTATATTGAACCGTGGATGTCAGGTGCTAACATTCATTTAAAAGCAGATTATATGAATACAGATACCTGTTAGACAACGATGACAGGCCTGGAGACTCGTACGCTCAACCAAAAACCTGGATATGAATCCACACAGGAGAATATAACGTGCGGTGCTTCTGAAAATTTGCGTTACAATGTCCGGAGGGTAGTTTTTACTATTGTATTGACTCTTAGATGCCTCTTTAATGTCGCTTATCATGACAACTTGTAATCAAACTAATGCTCTAAAGTTTAATCCGAAAGGAAATGTCTCACTATCTCACTTTTCAGATATACTGGTTTGTGTATCCAATATCCAATATCGTTTTTACGAGCTAGTATAAACCAACTTGATTTCTTTGTGCTCTCTTCTTGATTGTAAGGTATAGGTTCCTAATCTTCGGTAAACTTCTGCGTAGCTTGTTCCGCCACTCGACTGTCGTAGCTTTGGTTAACTCCAAAGGGAGTAGTGCTGGGATTCATTATATGTGGTTTGTAGTGTGAGGTGTGTTAAGACTGTTACTACTGTGAATGGAGTTGATCCTTTCGCCAGTTAGTGCTCCGGTATCATCGACAAGAGAAAAAAGATAGTAATATTAATAATGCTAATAATATCCAATATCCTGATTACCCCAGTCGGTTAATGCACATGGGCAAACGTGGGATAAACGGGTAATCTAGATCGGCAAACACGTGGGCAAAAGATGGTGTAAATGCAACCGATTTTACCCACTTTGGCCACATTTCCCACTTTTTCCCCGTTTTCCCATGTCCAGATAAAATTTGTTTGTCCCACCTTTTCCCAGTTTTCCCACGTGACCCACGTTTTCACCCATTTATCCCATATGCAGGAATTCAAAATATACCCACTTTTTCCCCGTTTGCCCATGTCATTTTAGAAAACAGCCCACTTATTCCCACTTTTCCCATGTTACAAACGAAAACAGCCCACCTTATCCCACTTTGCCCACATTTAAACGGAAAACTACCCACGTTTTTACCCACATATCCCAGGTCCACAAAAAAAAGTAACCGACTGGGACGAGCTAGTATAAACCAGTGATTTCTTTGAGCTCGCTTCTTGATTGTGAGGTAGAGGTTCCAGATCTTCGGTGAGCTACTGCGTAGTAAGTCCCGCCACTCGACTGCTTTAGCTCTGGTAGACTCCAGGAGGAGTGGTGCGGGGATTGGTCGAGATGTGGTTTGTAGTATGCAGTATGTTAGGACTGTGTTGCTGCCGTGAATGGAGTTTGACCTAACTCCCGTTGGTCATTCGGTGTAGTCATAAAAGCAGAATAGTAATAATAATAATAGGTTGTAGCGTAGATAATATAGGTTGAGATAAGTGGAATAATAAAGGTGACCTAAGGAAAAGATAGAGTGAGAGAAGGCAGAATAGGTCGTGGGGATTTAGTTTGTACGCTTATTCATTGACAGTGTGGTTTCAAGTTTTATGAGGATAAGCCATTGAGACACAAACCTTGCATTTCTGCATGATTGTCTAGCTTCCGCTTAGAAATCTCCAGAGATGGCGCTGTAGTCACGGCCGCCGGTAAAGCGTTCCAGAGACGGCAAACACGAAGCGAATAATAGATATAATTAGTGAAGTTATTCAGACTAAGAGACAGAAACGGAAATAGGAAAGCGCAACAACAGTCAGCTGATTAAATTTGAAGAATAATATATATATATATATATATATATATATCGGTAATAATGATAATAATAATATTAATGAGTTGTCAGGAGAGTAAGACGAGAGAGAATGTAGAGAAGTAAAACGACGAGTTTAATTGTCTACCCCTGAATGGTGGATGCGATTTTAAGGGGATAGGTCATTTGGATGCAGTCCTTGTGTCGCTGCATGGTTGTCCAGCCTTCTCTTAAAGGCGTCCAAAGACGGTGCCATAGCTACATCTGCCGGTAGGGAATTCCAGTGACGGCAAACCCGCAGTGAAATGAAGTGGGGGCGCACCTGGGTCCTTGCCCTCTGGTGAGCTATCCTTCTGGGATTTCCACGTGGGAGCCTATACCTACTCAATGGCAGAACATCTTTATTTGGGTGATTCTGGTCATTTGTTATTTTGTCGGCAGTAATCAAATCCCCCTAAGCCGACGGTAGCTAAGTGTGAACAGGCCTAATTTCTTCAGCCTTTCTTCATATGGTTTGTTTCGGAGACCAACCACTCCTTTTGTTACCTGTCGTTGGACTCTTTCCAAGAGGTTGGAGTCTCTTCTCAGCATAGAGGGTGCAATAATATTATGCGCCTCAAGGTGTGGTCTGACGTATGTTTTGTACAACCTTAGAAAGAACTCAGGAGTGAGTGCACCTAACTGTCTATGCGTAAAGTGTATGACCGCATACACCCTCGCTACATCCCCTGTGTAATTTACGCTTGTGTCCATTTTTCCGTTAGAACTAGACCTAAGTCGCGTTCCGACGTTGTGCAGGACAAGCTTTCATTGCACAGGGTGTAACTTGCATTCTGCAGTGTACAGGTGCGCAGCTTCACTACTTTGCAGTTTTTCAGGTTGAAAGTCATGCCACCGCCCAGTCTTCCAGAAGCTTTAGACCTTCCTGTAGCCTATCTGAGTCCTCCGGACACTTTATCGCCCTCCATATTTTTACGTCGTCAGCGTATAGGATAGTCGGGCCACCTGGCAACGTGGTAGATCATTGATAAAAATCAAAAACATCAGTGGTCCTAGGATAAAACCCTGCCACACTCCACATTGCTGTTTAGCTGTTTGGCGAAGGCTGAACTGAATGTTTCAGCCATTTCCAGACTAGTGAAATATTGACCGTTTGGGCCTACTAAGGCGCATGCCCCCTGGTTTGTCGGTTTTCTTTCCGACATGAATCGGTACAAGTTTTTGGGGTTTGCTGGGAGTTTTTTAGCAAGGTTAGCCTGGAATGACCTCCTGTCCCTCCTGACTCTTGCATTACACCGGTTGCTGAGTTCGAGGTGTAGTATTGGTTTTTAAGACTTAAGTCTCAATTGAGAGCCTAAGCCTACGACAATTCTAAACTTATTCTAAACTATTCTTCGGTAGTACCTTTTATGGTAAATGAAGAATCTATCTACTCACTATCTTTTGAAATAACGCTGGTCGTGCTTAAAAAGAGAGCTGGATGCTGAAATAAGTCTTTCCGTTCTGAAGTAACGCTAGTTCGATCTTAATATGTCCTGTGAGGGCTGGAGCAAAGCTGATAAGCGAACCCAGTAGGTTCTGATCTACTCCTGAAAAAGCCTAGAAAAAGAACAAGGTGCTGAATTGGTGTCAGTCATGCTGAAAATATGCACTGAGTTCTAGTCTCTGCCACTAAAGAATCCATTTCGGAACAGATGCAGAATTTACTCACTATAGAATGTGAGAATTATTTCAGTATTAGTAGGATTTAATTCAGGATTGTAGTAGGCTTTGGAGAAGCATCTGCGTATTCCTTTAGGATACATACAGGCTGGCAAACAAATGCGTCTTTCGCCTACGTTTCTACAAATTTCTTCCATTCCTGCTGCACTATTATTCTGAGAAATACATTGGAGATACTATAGCATAGTGACACTAATTTCGTATGAGCTTAGCAGTTTTCGACATTAAATGTTTTATTGCGGAATGATTGGAAGATTCGGAATTCATTAGCCTCCGTTACCCTACATTCTTCGAAGTTCTTATAATGAGACTTGTTAACGCCATGGTTTCAGTTGAGTTTTTGTATAAGCCAAAGTTATTGGTCTGTGTATCTGTACCTGTAATCTTGCCGGCTTCAAAACGCATTAGTGAAGAAAAATCCATGTAAAAGAAGCATATTCTAGCCGTTATGTGTGAATCCCATGCGTTTAATATCACTCCCAAACATAGGATGTGACTCGCTAGATAAGCATTCGCCTTTCTGAGATACCGCTTTGCTTTCTACCGCCTGGGAAACTCAATAGTATTATCAGTTATCACATAATCAATAAGTGTGGCTCTGCCTGGTACATAAAAATTCGTCCCGGTTAATTGAATTCTTATAACAAGTCAGTAGCTTGTTTTCGTACCCCTTGGTGTAAATCCTGGTGCTTCTGGAAAGACATGGTTTAACTAACTTTATTCAAAAACAGAGGCCTTATTACAGACTTAAACGCCGATGTCGTTTTGGATTACTGCAATTGAGTTTTGCTCTAATCTGGGCAACACTATTAGATTAATAGGAAAATACGTTAGGTTTACATGGACTGAGCTGATTTCATGGTAGGCGGCATCAAAAAGTTGTCACAGTTATAATACCTCTGAAGCAAAAACGTAGTAAGCTACAGTTTCGACGCAACTTCAACAGCGTACATACATCATCTTACCGTCAGTCGAACGCGACCATCATTGGTGTAAATTTCTACGGCCCATGAAACGTAGCTTATGTCCATTGCTCTTAGGTTTACGGTGGTCCTATTGCTGGTGTCGATTTATTACTATACCATCTTTGAAAAAAAACACTGGTTAGTCAATAAATTTCAATATTCGGTTTATGAGACTGAGATAAAGACATTTCCTCATTTGCGTTAGTCATAATATCCAAGCCCGTGATTGCAACTTGTATAGAGTATAATTAACTGGTGCGTAGCAGCAAACGTACTAAACATAAAGTAAATGAGAATATACTTTAAGAACAAGATGATTAAAAAGGTGAAATACCGGCACGCAACAGGACTATCCAGATAAGTCTTCGTGATTCTGCGTTGGTTTTGTGAAATAGTTTTATCCAAATTCATTATTCCGTTCTGTTCTACCACCGTGTATTCGCTTGTAAACCGTCAGTGAAAATCCGCAAAGACTCTTTATGCTTTTGACACTTCGTCTATACCACTAGTTTCTGTATATTTATCATTTACACATTTAGAAAAATGCAATTGTATTCAGTTTATTATATCTCCAACTGATTACTGTTGATTTCTTTACCTTCTGTATTACAGTTTTAATGGGCGCCAGATACTCTAAGAAGCGCCATAAGCCTCGTATAAGCAAATCTCAGATTCCATGGCTTTTACGTGGAGCTATAAGAAGCAATAACGTTGGAACGCTGCAGTATCTTTTCAGTTATCCAAATGGTGTGGACCCAAGTATGGTCATCGATGGTGTTTGTCCTCTTAATCTGGCAGTTGAATTGGGGTATTTACAAATGGTCAAAATCCTTATCAAAGCAGGTGCAGATATTTACGTGGCTGACGCTCCTCGATATCCGCTTCATCAAGTAAAACAGCCGTAAAACCCCAATATTAGTTTGCGTGCATTATTGTGTATTATTTGGATATTTAGTTGTTGGTTTGCAGGGATTTTATTTGATTGGTTACAGGATTTGATCATGAGCTGACATCGATTAGAGAACCATTGGAAAACTTGGGAGTACTAGGCAGCTGTTTCGTCTTAGTTTGGGACAAACCCACCGGGGTTCGGACCCAGGACCTTCAGGTTAGAAGGCGAGCTCGTAGACCATTACACCACTGGGATCCGACGCAGTGGCCCGTGAATTCCAACTTCTGCCATTTCACGATATAACGTGACCACTAGCCAATGTCATCGGTTAGTATCTGCCCTCACACCCAACCTACTCTACCACTCAGGTAACTACCTACCTGAAAAGGGCCAGTCGCTAGTGGGCATCAGATTAATGTTCAGGACAAATGCTCGCTGATGATACTGACCAGTGGTCGCGCTATATTATTTGAATGTTTTCAGATATTTGTTTAAACAATCCACAACTTTTGTGAATGTACGTATAATCTGAATAGGAAATTTTCACTACCACAATGAGCATTTGAATATTTCCTTGACTCCACAAATAACGGAAGTTAATAAAAATAAATCAACACTTTCTGCCTTACCAACTACGTAAGGCCGATATCTTGGGTGATAGAAGGTGCATGATAAGAGAAGTAAAGTAGTTTTGCTTGGTGACGAAGCTAAGAAAAATTCTATTAGAAGCTAGTTATTCATCATTTTGAAGATTGTTCGCCGTATTAGCATGGCATCCATCTGAAGAATCTGCGACTAACAAGAAATCGCTCTCACGTAAATGTAACTGATAAACCGTACTCTGTCATCTTCTCTGTGTTATACTCAACGTCATGTTTGTTACGTAGTCGATATTTGCTACTTTAATGTGATCCTAGTCGGTTGTACTAGGAACGATTATCCCTTTGCGTTGTACTGTCCTCAAAAATCAGTTGTACAGTGGTAGGACTAATGTGGACTACTACTGATCTTTAGATCAAGTTTCTTGATTTTCTCATAAGAAACATTTCTTGTTTCTTATCCTTTTAAAATGGTAATTTTAAAAATTTAGGTTTGGCTGGCTATATATATGGCTCATTGGCTTAAGCACTCAGTTCTCAGCCTATGAGTCACGAGTTCTTGTCCCACTTCATCTGCTTCAGCCTTTGCTACTGGGTAGTATCGGCCCTTACGAAACAAGTCTGGCTCTTAACCTGGTGTATAAGAAATGTTTCGAGGATACTCTTATATATATATATATATATATATATATATATATATATATATATATATATATATATATATATATAACTGATGAATTATAGACTGCCTAGTTGGAGTCATCGGGATGCCAAGAACCAATAGCTGGAGACTACTAATGATATGACTCAAAATCGTTCCCAGTGGCGAAGATGTATTCACTCTTTATGGTGTGTCCCATATCTATTAAACTCCCATACTTTTCCATGCCACTGTCCTTACTGCTCATTGTGATTCTTTCGAACTCCTTTTTTCTCTTTTTCCTACCTTTGTGTGTTGCATGAAATGTGGCAACTTGAACTGGTGCACTTCTCTTCTAAGTTCTATGTTGAAAATCAGTCAGATATAGTATTAATAGTTATCAGTAACATTTACCGATATTGTATTACACAATGTGTTCTATAAAATGTAGAGTAATTAGCAGTAAGTGTATGCACATACATGATTGGTGATTCACATTTCCAGTTGTATTTCACAACTTGTTTGTCAGTCGGATAAAACATACATACCATAGTTGGATATGATTATATGATATATTGTTCGCCTTGATAAATTTTTTTTTAAAAAAATACCATGCTTTTGTTTTGCTTTAGGCAAGTTTATTTGGTCGTGCAGACATCGCTGAACTTCTTATTCGATCCGGTGCTTCTGTATCTGCGCTCACTGAACGTCGACAGTCTTGCCTACATTTACTAGCCCATCAAACTGCCCAGCGGTACGTTGATACAGCTAAAATTCTCCTAAAATATCATGCCAATCCCAATACATTAGATGATGATGGCCTTGCTCCACTGCATCGAGCATCAGTTGAAATCGTTGAAGTCTTAGTTGCAGTAAGTGATTGATTGATTAAATAAATATGTAAGAACCTGTCATACACAATTGTTTCTTACACTGGAATGTGTTAGAATAACTGGTGATCAGCTGGGGCATTGAAACACAACTAAGCATGAGGTGGTCGCTGAAGTGCGTCATTGGTTCGGGGATAGAATGGTCGCCAGCCACACACTTAGTCTGGGTTTCTATCCCAGACCGACTCACCCCTAAACATCGCCTAGGTCACATACTTAACTTTGTTTTTTTATAAGTATTACATAAACTGCTACAGCGTGAGAAATTCAAAAACATATAACAACCATCAATAATAGCAAACAAACTCAACGACTTCCCAAATGAACTTGGAATAAGAAGCTATTTGGTTAGTTTTTTGAAGCTCATTTAGTAGATCGTTGATTTCAATTGCTATTCTTCATGGTAACTCATAGTGCTTAAAGTGAATTTCTTCTCACTGTATAGTTGACTGTGAGTGTTGATGAAATCCCTAACTGTTGCACTTCTGAAGAAGGAACTTAAGGGACTTCTTTACAACTAGGCCTGGTGGTGTTTTCTAAGTTGTGAAACAGAACACATCGAAATATTTATATATGTGGTTCCATATGACTATGTGGACTGATTGATGTAAACAAATGAAATAGCTCCTATGTCTAACCAAGGATATTTATGACTAATTTTCTAGGCTAAAAATGTATGAAATTTTGGTTGTTGTAAATGAAAGGTGTAATCGGATAAGCATCTTTGTTTTATTACTTCTAACCCCCTCCCCCACATCTTATTTAATACACTTCCCAATTTCATGTTACTTAAATGACGTCCAAATTTTATAGTTAGCTGAAACGATATCCTATTAGTCTTAAGGAAGGACTACAGGTCTCAATTGTTATTACATGTTGTGGAATGTCAAAGTTAACTTCTGAATGAAGCAAAAACAAGGATTTGTACAGAATAACATGTTACCACTGTTTAAGCTTGCAAAGCAACTTTAACGTACTTGCAAACATGACATCACGTTGGTTAACAGAAGACTCCAAGATGAATCGGCAAGGTTCGGAAATTAAACATAACTTGTACACAGACGGTTCAATCCCAACCAAGACAAAAATAAGTACTTGGATACAGTGATAAAGGAGATGCGTAATGAAGACAAGGGGTGTATAAGATGATAAGTAACTAAGAAGTTGAATAGCAATGTGGTGAGTTCAACTGAAATCACACAAGCAAAAGATAAGCAGAATTACGTTGTAATTAAGGAGAAGAAGTTGAAGCCAAAGATTTTGTAGTCAGATAAAATAGAGAGTAGAGACATCGAGTTACCAGAACAAGAAAAGACCGATAACTGTTTCTTTCTGAGCACAAATTGGGTTCCAGGCTTTTGATAGCCATTGCTTCGACAAACTTGAAGAGAAGTGAACTATATTTTCTATCGATAATTTTACAGGATTTCATGGTGTTCACCTCACGATCCGTATAGACGAGATGCCTGGCGATGGCACTTTTGAAAGCGTTCGTTCCCTCAAGAAATAAGTCCTTTGGTACATGTTCATAAAACCGAAGGTATGCCCTTCTTCCTGTTATCCCAATGCAATTGCTACGGCAGGTAAATGTAAGTTTGCATACACACAGTTATAGCTAACGTAAGAAAGGTATCTGTCTACCTTTGATTGCACCAAACAGCATGTTGTCCTATAAACTGGAATCAACTTAGCTGCAGGATAGGTTTTGGCTAGTGAGGTATTCAATTTTCTGTTGACTATTCCTGCAATATTATCACCTTTGAAGTCGAGTTGTATGGAAATAGGCTTCTTTTCCACTGTGGTTTGTTTGGTATTGAAGCCTTCACATCTTCCCATCTTTTTCAACATCTTTTTGAAAAACAAAAATTCTAATGTTTATAGAGTATATTCTCTGGGTCTGGAATAAAGAGTTCTGATCAATTCTCGTTTACAGCCCATCTTTGGTCAACTATTGAAATCTAAGTATTCTTAATTTCATGTGTGCTTTCTGTGAACTGACCTCCCAGGTATTGCATGACATTGTGAAGTAAGCGAAACTTCCTATCACTTCCTACACTGTCTTACCAGTGCGAATTCTAAACAAATATTTTGCATATTGAAAGTAATATCAAAGGAAAGGTTCAGTTTAACTTTCATAATTATTTCTGTGCTTATTGGGTGTATTATTAATATCGCAATAGATTTCTACTATTCTTTATGGTCTGGCACACTTGAATTCTTAAATGGACTAGTTTCTATGTTTATTTGAGATCTACCAGTCGCTGAGATTAGTTTTTGTCTCTCTTACCTCCGAATATCCTATTTTAAGTCACTCAAGTTGGTAGTTAGAACACAATTCTACCCGTTATGTTTTTTTCACGACTTGGTATGGCAGTGGGTGTATAAACTTCGGTCTCTCTCCCAAAATGCCTTCATACGGCTACACATTCGAAGCCTCTGTCACCAGGTAAGTCCCTCATTACCTTCACACTGTAGGGATGGTCCTCACAAGAGTGAAAGGGCGAATTCGAACCTCTGTCGCTTACAACCCAACTGGTAGACACATAAGTGTACCTAGGGATTCGGAAAACCCTGATACCAAACCTGTAGTGTGCATGGGCTCCAGAATCTGAAAGAATCGAACGGCGTCTAAGCCGGGAGCCATGGGAGCGTGGCTCGACTGCATTGTGGACCAGGCATGATGTCAAAAACTCGGCGGGGGATAACCAGCTCCTTAAGACAACCATCTGCCTCAGCCTAAATGTCCGTGCACTATCGCAGCCTTCGCATCTGTTGGTGCCCATAAGGTGCTAAGTTTGTCTTCATAAATAAATAAAGTTTTTGTAGTGTCATAACTCCTTACTCAATCACCAGATACATATATAACAATAACTTTACATTTTTTCCTCTTGATTTTTTTAAAAGCATGAAACCACTGACGTAAACATCTGTAGTCGTGATTTAGATACACCTCTTCTAACCGCTGTAAAAGATCGCAGAGAATTAATTTTAATTGCCCTTATCCGTGCAGATCAACAATTTCGTGAACAACATCGTAAAAATGTTAGCAATATTATAAGTACAACTGTGATTGATAATCAGTCTGGCAGTGGCGGTGATGGACATTGTCGTGTAGGTAATAATGCAAACGCCTTGCGTACACCATCTTCCAAATCATCGAATTCAGCTGCTTCGCGATTCACCTTAGCCTCTGCTACAAGTACAATACTTCGAGGTGCAATTTCGTCAAATGATTGTGCAGTACCACCACGTGCATCATCTGCAGCTTCAGTTAATACACACTCAGTATTTAGTACAAATAATCCAAAATCAATTGTTAGTCGACATATTTTAACTTCACAACTTCTACGCTCTAAACACAATAAAGTTTTAGATGATCAAGATACTGAGCTTGAATCGGACTCGAATGGCATTAATCTACGTTCATGTATTTCAAGATTAAGTGGAAAAAATCATACATTTTTGCATCCTGAACCAGTTGTTGTTGTTGATCCTATCGTCAAATCAAGCTATAGTGGTAGTTCCAATCTATCTAATGTTATCCGTAAACCCGAAAATTGTCAACGGTGTCACAGTGTAGGAAATCCAAGTGGTAAGCTTCTTTTTTGTCTAAAGTTGTATTATCAGTTGTAAGATTCTATTCATCTCTTTTTCCTTTTAATCGCTATTATGGACTGAATAATCCTAGATAAGTACAATGCATAAATGTATGTGAAAAGATTACAAGTTTTTCTTAATATAGATAGGGATTCAAGCCCTAATATTTGACATACCGTAGTCTGATTCATGCTCAGCACTTCTCTGAATATGCTAACAGAGCTTCTATCGTCAGTGTTATCTGGGTTGATTATGTTACATATATAAAGGAGATCATTTCATGAGAAACAGAGGACAGGAAAGTGGTCTTCAACATAGTGTATCTCATACTTTTTTAAATAATATTTATGTTGAAGTCAAAGCATCTTGGAGAACTGCTTAATATATCGGCTAGCTCCATTAAACACGCGGTTCAGTAGTAGTTCTCTTGTTTGATACCCTATTAATCTTAAATCTTACCAAAGTCTACAAGTGGTTGTCACCACAAACAGTTATATCATTTCTCAAGAATTCAAATAAGTTCACGTATTAATATCATTCGACATTACGTAGACAATGATATAATGTATCTACTGCACCGTTTCGTGCTAGGTGCATTCTATTATATATACCATGATTTCTAACAGTTTGTTATGTTTTTATGAGTTGATCACGGATTGATATCAGTTAGAGAACCATTGAAAACCAGGGAGTACTGGACAGCTGCTGTTTCATCCTAGTTTGGGAATCATCGCCAGTACGCACCCACTGGGATTCGAACCCGGGACCTTCCGGTTACAAGGCAAGCTCGTATACCATTAAGCCACTGGGACCCGATTCAATGGCTCGTGAATTCTAACTTCTACTAATTCGTGATTTAGCGCGACCCCAACCATTGTCGTTGGTGGGACATCCATCCACACACGTGACATCTAATTGGACCTCACTGGTCACGACTTCTCACTAGAACTCAGGAAACTCCAACCTGTAGCAAGTCACTAGCGAGCAACAGATTAACTTTCTATAGTTTGTGGCTTAATGGAATACGAGCTTGCCTTGTAACCGGAAGGTCCCGGGTTCGAATCCCAGTGGGTGCGTACTGGCGATGATTCCCAAACTAGGATGAAACAGCAGCTGTCCAGTACTCCCTGGTTTTCAATGGTTCTCTAACTGATATCAATCCGTGATCAACCCGTAAAACATAACTAATCCTTACAAACCAAACTATAGAAAGTTAATCTGATGCTCGCTAGTGACTTGCTACAGGTTGGAGTTTCCTGAGTTCTAGTGAGAAGTCGTGACCAGTGAGGTCCAATTAGATGTCACGTGTGTGGATGGATGTCCCACCAACGACAATGGTTGGGGTCGCGCTAAATCACGAATTAGTAGAAGTTAGAATTCACGAGCCATTGAATCGGGTCCCAGTGGCTTAATGGTATACGAGCTTGCCTTGTAACCGGAAGGTCCTGGGTTCGAATCCCAGTGGGTGCGTACTGGCGATGATTCCCAAACTAGGATGAAACAGCAGCTGTCCAGTACTCCCTGGTTTTCAATGGTTCTCTAACTGATATCAATCCGTGATCAACCCGTAAAACATAACTAATCCTTACAAACCAAACTATAGAAAGTTAATCTGATGCTCGCTAGTGACTTGCTACAGGTTGGAGTTTCCTGAGTTCTAGTGAGAAGTCGTGACCAGTGAGGTCCAATTAGATGTCACGTGTGTGGATGGATGTCCCACCAACGACAATGGTTGGGGTCGCGCTAAATCACGAATTAGTAGAAGTTAGAATTCACGAGCCATTGAATCGGGTCCCAGTGGCTTAATGGTATACGAGCTTGCCTTGTAACCGGAAGGTCCCGGGTTCGAATCCCAGTGGGTGCGTACTGGCGATGATTCCCAAACTAGGATGAAACAGCAGCTGTCCAGTACTCCCTGGTTTTCAATGGTTCTCTAACTGATATCAATCCGTGATCAACCCGTAAAACATAACTAATCCTTACAAACCAAACTATAGAAAGTTAATCTGATGCTCGCTAGTGACTTGCTACAGGTTGGAGTTTCCTGAGTTCTAGTGAGAAGTCGTGACCAGTGAGGTCCAATTAGATGTCACGTGTGTGGATGGATGTCCCACCAACGACAATGGTTGGGGTCGCGCTAAATCACGAATTAGTAGAAGTTAGAATTCACGAGCCATTGAATCGGGTCCCAGTGGCTTAATGGTATACGAGCTTGCCTTGTAACCGGAAGGTCCCGGGTTCGAATCCCAGTGGGTGCGTACTGGCGATGATTCCCAAACTAGGATGAAACAGCAGCTGTCCAGTACTCCCTGGTTTTCAATGGTTCTCTAACTGATATCAATCCGTGATCAACCCGTAAAACATAACTAATCCTTACAAACCAAACTATAGAAAGTTAATCTGATGCTCGCTAGTGACTTGCTACAGGTTGGAGTTTCCTGAGTTCTAGTGGGAAGTCGTGACCAGTGAGGTCCAATTAGATGTCACGTGTGTGGATGGATGTCCCACCAACGACAATGGTTGGGGTCGCGCTAAATCACGAATTAGTAGAAGTTAGAATTCACGAGCCATTGAATCGGGTCCCAGTGGCTTAATGGTATACGAGCTTGCCTTGTAACCGGAAGGTCCTGGGTTCGAATCCCAGTGGGTGCGTACTGGCGATGATTCCCAAACTAGGATGAAACAGCAGCTGTCCAGTACTCCCTGGTTTTCAATGGTTCTCTAACTGATATCAATCCGTGATCAACCCGTAAAACATAACTAATCCTTACAAACCAAACTATAGAAAGTTAATCTGATGCTCGCTAGTGACTTGCTACAGGTTGGAGTTTCCTGAGTTCTAGTGAGAAGTCGTGACCAGTGAGGTCCAATTAGATGTCACGTGTGTGGATGGATGTCCCACCAACGACAATGGTTGGGGTCGCGCTAAATCACGAATTAGTAGAAGTTAGAATTCACGAGCCATTGAATCGGGTCCCAGTGGCTTAATGGTATACGAGCTTGCCTTGTAACCGGAAGGTCCCGGGTTCGAATCCCAGTGGGTGCGTACTGGCGATGATTCCCAAACTAGGATGAAACAGCAGCTGTCCAGTACTCCCTGGTTTTCAATGGTTCTCTAACTGATATCAATCCGTGATCAACCCGTAAAACATAACTAATCCTTACAAACCAAACTATAGAAAGTTAATCTGATGCTCGCTAGTGACTTGCTACAGGTTGGAGTTTCCTGAGTTCTAGTGAGAAGTCGTGACCAGTGAGGTCCAATTAGATGTCACGTGTGTGGATGGATGTCCCACCAACGACAATGGTTGGGGTCGCGCTAAATCACGAATTAGTAGAAGTTAGAATTCACGAGCCATTGAATCGGGTCCCAGTGGCTTAATGGTATACGAGCTTGCCTTGTAACCGGAAGGTCCCGGGTTCGAATCCCAGTGGGTGCGTACTGGCGATGATTCCCAAACTAGGATGAAACAGCAGCTGTCCAGTACTCCCTGGTTTTCAATGGTTCTCTAACTGATATCAATCCGTGATCAACCCGTAAAACATAACTAATCCTTACAAACCAAACTATAGAAAGTTAATCTGATGCTCGCTAGTGACTTGCTACAGGTTGGAGTTTCCTGAGTTCTAGTGAGAAGTCGTGACCAGTGAGGTCCAATTAGATGTCACGTGTGTGGATGGATGTCCCACCAACGACAATGGTTGGGGTCGCGCTAAATCACGAATTAGTAGAAGTTAGAATTCACGAGCCATTGAATCGGGTCCCAGTGGCTTAATGGTATACGAGCTTGCCTTGTAACCGGAAGGTCCTGGGTTCGAATCCCAGTGGGTGCGTACTGGCGATGATTCCCAAACTAGGATGAAACAGCAGCTGTCCAGTACTCCCTGGTTTTCAATGGTTCTCTAACTGATATCAATCCGTGATCAACCCGTAAAACATAACTAATCCTTACAAACCAAACTATAGAAAGTTAATCTGATGCTCGCTAGTGACTTGCTACAGGTTGGAGTTTCCTGAGTTCTAGTGAGAAGTCGTGACCAGTGAGGTCCAATTAGATGTCACGTGTGTGGATGGATGTCCCACCAACGACAATGGTTGGGGTCGCGCTAAATCACGAATTAGTAGAAGTTAGAATTCACGAGCCATTGAATCGGGTCCCAGTGGCTTAATGGTATACGAGCTTGCCTTGTAACCGGAAGGTCCCGGGTTCGAATCCCAGTGGGTGCGTACTGGCGATGATTCCCAAACTAGGATGAAACAGCAGCTGTCCAGTACTCCCTGGTTTTCAATGGTTCTCTAACTGATATCAATCCGTGATCAACCCGTAAAACATAACTAATCCTTACAAACCAAACTATAGAAAGTTAATCTGATGCTCGCTAGTGACTTGCTACAGGTTGGAGTTTCCTGAGTTCTAGTGAGAAGTCGTGACCAGTGAGGTCCAATTAGATGTCACGTGTGTGGATGGATGTCCCACCAACGACAATGGTTGGGGTCGCGCTAAATCACGAATTAGTAGAAGTTAGAATTCACGAGCCATTGAATCGGGTCCCAGTGGCTTAATGGTATACGAGCTTGCCTTGTAACCGGAAGGTCCCGGGTTCGAATCCCAGTGGGTGCGTACTGGCGATGATTCCCAAACTAGGATGAAACAGCAGCTGTCCAGTACTCCCTGGTTTTCAATGGTTCTCTAACTGATATCAATCCGTGATCAACCCGTAAAACATAACTAATCCTTACAAACCAAACTATAGAAAGTTAATCTGATGCTCGCTAGTGACTTGCTACAGGTTGGAGTTTCCTGAGTTCTAGTGAGAAGTCGTGACCAGTGAGGTCCAATTAGATGTCACGTGTGTGGATGGATGTCCCACCAACGACAATGGTTGGGGTCGCGCTAAATCACGAATTAGTAGAAGTTAGAATTCACGAGCCATTGAATCGGGTCCCAGTGGCTTAATGGTATACGAGCTTGCCTTGTAACCGGAAGGTCCCGG